TTGTAAGACTTCACTGTGTCAGCAAGAGGTGCAGTATTTGCTAACTCTGAATGAAGCAATTAACAAGAATTACAATTTCTGTTTCTTATTTCTTCACAAAGCGCCGTTTGTTTTTCGTAATAGACGCATCATATCAATAAAAAGGCGCTTTATCGCCAAATGTGGCTCAAATTAACGGGCGTTACTTTGATTTGTTATGCCAGTTACAACAACAGTTCTCGGCAGTTATTTTGATTTACTCCAACGTGGTAACGCATTACAAAAGCCTTAATGTCAAAGAATTTGGCGCTAAATTCTGCTGCATATCTTTGTAACACGAACTCTCACGTCTAAGAGTCTTGCTTTAATTCCTTTTTGCAACCGCTGTGGAACCTTATTTTTCTAAGTTCGTAATGAAGATTTCGTACCTGTCGTCAATTTTTTTAAATACGAATTTATAAAGCTCTTTTCATTTGATAATAACCGCACTTTGTACAAGAAGGTTTTTTTAAAATTTATTTGGTTATTAATAATTCTTTCGTGAGCATTTTTCCTTTATTGTAAAGACATGCACGCTAGGCAAAATGAATTAATTAATAATATATTATGAAATTTACTCTTTTTTCTGTAGAATAAACACTCAGGTTTCCGCCTTTGGACAGTCAGATTTTCAAATGCAAGCTTTTTTTTTTTTAAAAAAAGCTCAAATAGAAATGAAGCATTCTTCTAAAAATTAACTGCATTAGAAAATAATGTGTTTTTAAATCTTCCAGCAACAAATATAAATAAAAGTTTTATTATTATTTTTAAAATGATAAATTTATCTTCAGCTACTCAAGCAATCAAATAAAAAATAACTTCAAAATTAAATAACAGCAACAAAAAATGTCGTGTTTTCAGCTACAAAATTAGTAAATATTTTTAAATTTTTGATAGTCGACATTAAAAATGAGAAACGAAACACATTTTTAAAATGAAATTTGGAAAAGAAGATAGTGATATATAAAATAAGATGATGTAATATTCGAAATCTTTTTTTGAAGCAACGTACTTTATTAAAACTTATACGGTCAGAAAAGGCACACTAGATAAGATACATAAAGAATTCTTTTGAAAAATAGTTACAAAACCACGACGTACACAGACACTGCGAATACCATTTATTATGTTACGATTCAAACTGCAACGGCATTTATTTTACCATAACTGATGGCCTAATGTCTTGTACATGATTGATTGGAGTTTATAAGATTATGACAGCAGTCTAAAAGTTACTTATCAAATCTTTACGGACATATTCATATAATCAAGCTATATAATTTAATTTATTAGTTTAAATTTATGTTAAACAGTATCTTTTACGTAAGTGGATAAAAGCTTCTTAAAAAAATTATTTTTTTTAAATGCATTATCATATGATCATATTTTCCTTTCAACAGACGACAAGGGTAATCATGAAACACATAATAAAGATTTTCAGTGCAACAATGTCGCATTTACTAGACTTATCCATAGCAAGAAACAAAACATTCTGAACTGGTCTTAGTAACTGGTCTCTACAGGTCCATTTCAACGAGTTTTCAAGTTTCTCGACCATTTCAATGCAAGTACCGATGTGGCTGCATGGTACTTTGTGGTAATCATTCCTATAAAAGTTTCATAAATGGGAATGCTGTTTGAGGCCAAGGGAAACACTCTGTAAAGAATCACCAGTTCTGATCAGGATTTTAAACCTTAGATCAGTAGTTTTTATAAAATTGTTGATTTACATCTCCACTTCAGAACGTAAAGTTTGGAAACATTTTTGTGCTTTGTCTTATTTAAAACGAAACAGTAATGAAATAACTTTACCTTGATATGAATTTACTGAATTTTAAAATATAGGTAATTTCGTTCGATGACAAAACCCCCGATGACTATTTAACCTCTAGCTTTCATGGAAGTCTTTCAAAGAAGAAATTACTTTTGTTTCGTGCTACACATAGAAATATCCTTTATACTTTGTCATCGTTGGATAAAACAGAAGTCATGCTCTTCGTTACGGTGCATGAGCATTTTGTTAATATAAATGGCATTTTATCAGATTTCCTGCTCAAAGAAAGAACTGCATATTTAACACCTTTTCCAAACTAGTCCCTCCTACCTCAGACAGATGTAAGTCGAAATTATTTGGAAAATTCACATTAACGTCAGCTATACCTCAGAAGAGAAGGAAAATAATCTCTGCTGGCATACCAGAAGAGGTCTGCACGCCTGAGAAGAGGGAGATTGTAAGAAACACGCATTGTCGTTTCGATCTTAAAACATCTGGACCCTGCTTTTAGAGGGCGTGAAGGCTAACCCCAGCTCCCCGTCTTGTGTTCAGTTTAACACAGATCTCATTCATAGATGAAGGACAAGTATTTGAACAACGGAAAAGAAATGGCTTATAGGGAATAGTAACAAGAAGTTCGGGCATGACCCTTGAATTTTTTCGGGAGTGTTTTGTTTACAAATCTAAATGAGGTTACGTTAAAAGGGAGAGAGTTGAACAAAAGATTAATTGAAGCATCCTTCGGCTTCATGGTATTCTTCGCAATGACACCGATCAGGATGGTATTGAGACAATCTTTGTTTCCAGTATTGTAAAGAGTATTACGAAGTGGGAAATTTAAAATTACGTTTAAATTACATTTTTTAAAATTGTATTTAAATTATATGTATGCCCACGTAATGTAATTTTTGAATGTCTTAATGATTAATTAAACGAAGATTTAAAAAAATATCCAAAATAATGTGAAGAGTAGTGTTACTTCCGTTATAGGTTTAATGATGCATGCTTATATTAATCTTATATTCAAATAAATCTTAATTGTTATGATGCCGATCAATATTAAACATTTGTCTATTTTCGTCACAATTTATTGTATTGAAAATAAAATCTCGGATTATTTCTATCTTATTGTTGTTACCAGTCTTACTTGTCTGACAAAGCCCACGACAGTCATCGTGGCAAGGCATCAAATGGGCCAGAGACAGCACCTCGGGGGACGGGTCCGAGGGTCTCATACTCCTCTTCCCCTACCAGCCACTTCTCGAGTGGACTTTCGGCTAGCCTCATATTTAGAGTGCCCCTATGCGCACAGACACTACACATTTACAAACAGCCATGCCTTCTCTGTGATTCGAACCCGGGTTCTTCGCTACGGTATTCAGTATCGCTACCACAATCCCGGTTGGGCGTCAATTGTATCTTGATTTTGATTGTCAAGCTGAATTTTTCTGTTAAAAATCAGGATTGTGGCTCATTATTTAGGACACATCATTTAGGACTGTGGCTGAATATCAAGTTTCTGGTTACAGATAAATGTTTAAAAAATAAATAATAATAATAATAATAATTTAAACTATCAACAGCTTTTAGAATCTCTTTTTCTATTAGCATTCTTAAAATGGATAGCTTTTTAATTTAGAACGAATTACAACGATATTCTTTATATGCTTTGTTTTAAGAACACTATTAAAATCATGCTTTTAATATTTTAATCAATGGACAAATTATTTACTTTTATGCACTCATTACATACATGATACACGTATTTAATTTTATATGCGATGTAAATAATTTATTTACGAATAAGATATTTATGCACTGAAATAAATGTAGCTTACTTCAGCAATTTAAAGCTAGTATCTTCCTTGCTAATGTTTCCACATTCTTACGGCTTTTACTTTAGATTTTTATAAATTATAAACGCAACTTCTTACGTAACTTATTTCTATCATATTTCTTTTTAATTTCAGGTACATATTCGCAGCAGTTCTTTACTTTTATAATAACTATTAATTACGTTTAATTACAAAAATTAATTAAATTTTCCATGTGACATAAAGAGAAAATTAGACTAGGAATGTTTAAAAATAGAAATGCTACTTGAAATATGTTGATTAATCAAACAATTTACATATTAAGAGACTGAAACAAAATAGAACTAAAGGAATTTTGATGACTTAAGCAATTTCTTTTAGTTCCGATGTTAATTGAGCTTAGTCATATCCCACTGCATTTATATTTAAAAGAAAATTCTACGACCATTTTCTTAATCAATTACATAGCTTATGCTAAATAAGTTATACCAGTACGTGTTTCCAAATTGAGAATATTAAATCTTACAAGCCGCCTAAATTTAATTTTAAAATATGCCAATTCAAATTATATGCTCTGATTTGTTCAGCTGACATACTTGTTTAGTTCATAACTTTAATTAGCAGCGATTTTTTTTTCAGATTACCGTAAGTTATCCTAATGTTTAATAATTAAACTTACTTCTCATACTAATACGTTACGTTATTTACTTTTCGTGAGTTATGCTTTACCCTTCTCATTAATGCTTACACAGCACTGATAATTTATTTTGTGAAGGAGTTATTTACATAATTTAAATTATCTTTCTCTTCTATAATTACATATGTATACATATGCTTTGCCTACATATGAAACTACTTATATATTATAAATGTAATTATATTCTAAAGATATGACTTATACATAAATATATAAATATAAACATATGTCAATGTGAAAGAATAAATGAAAGCAATTAAGCACATGCATGGATAAGTATGAGATTGCTATCTGATAATAAAATTCAAGGTAAGAAATTTAAATTATATTTATAAAAACAAAATTCCAAATAAAGAAAACAAATTGAGGAAAAATGTTAGTAGATAAATTTAGACGAATAAATTACGCAGAAAAGTGCCTCACAGAGAGTTATAGATTAACATATAATTCTTCTCCAAAACAATCTATAAAAAAGTTGCTTATGCATAAATTACACGAAATATTCCACTTGTGTTACAGAAAATCCTATGCATATATTAATGAATAGCACAATATGAACTAGATGGATTTCCAGAAAATATAAGGCACCTTTAACGGCATAAATGTTTTCCGGATAAGCAAACAAAACACACAGCGAAAGTTCATGAAAAGAGCTGTGGACAGTCCCAGATATATGGCACGAGAACAATATACTTACTGAATATCTTGGGCCAAATCTAGGAGTTGACAAACGGCACTCCAGAAACTACAGCACTAAATCCTCGGACGCAATATTTATTCGGATGGCACAACAATTCCCTGAGAGAAACGGAGTATTATCCTTCTGAAGCACAAAACTTGTTCGAAACAGTGAGGTCCTTTAAAACGCCAACATGAGGAAAGCCAAGAGGACACATGTGCATATGTACATCGGACCGTGAGACCATTCAAATTCACACTCACCTGGTTAACTATGCAAAGCCGAAATAGAACGGAGGTGGTGGTGCTTTTGATAAATTGCGGCAATTTGCAAAATGTCGCTATGATACTAATGTACGAGGTTGTCGCGATGCTTAAACACAGAGCAAGGTTTATCACGGGTCTTCCTTCGGATCACTAATGCTACTCGCTGCTAGTCGTGTGAAGTGAGCAAGGGGGGTTTCCAACAGCAGAGCCGTCGCTGGCACCACGCGTCTCCAAGGGATTGTAGTTAATTGCGGAGATTCGTTTGGAGATCCATTCCTTCCAGAAAGCAGTTTCTCCCTAATATAGCTGTCTGAACAGTAAGTGGAAACAGAAAGAATAACATCGTCAGTTGGGAATAATTCCGCCAGCTTACAGCTGTGCTGTTATGTGATGATTTGTGTCTTCCAGACATAATGATCGCTTTGTCATGTAAATGGACTGAACAGGACAGGTGAATTGTAATGCGGAGATTCGAATAAAAAAGCGCCGTGCTTATATCAAAACCTTGGAAACAATTGTTTGAACAAATAAGCCAAAATTTGCCTTTCAGAAAAGGAAGAATATTTCCCTTCTTGAGCAAAAAAGAAACTGATGAAGTAGCACCCAAACAACAGCACCAAAGATTCCGGCCACCAAAATCTTCAATTTCTCTCGAGCTGTTATGTATATTAAGGAGTTCTGAAAATTTTTCCTAAGAACGATTCTCTATTCTTTGCATTACATGCATACCAAATGTGAAAATTATAAAAAAAATAGACCTTGCTTTATTTTACATGCATGTAAATGAATTTAACCGGTGTTTTCTTCTGTACTAAACACGAATATGCAATTTTTCCTCAAAATAATATACATTTAGTGGTATCAATCAAGTCATTATAACTTGACATGCAGTTCAGCTCAAAGAAAATATTTATAAACTAGAATTCTGTTATACATAATATATCAACCATATATAGTGGCTGATATATATTATGTACAGTAGAATTCTAGTTTCACGAGCTCTATACATCCAGAATTCCGGTTACGCAGACTGCTTAATCTTCTTCATAAGCCTTGCAATATTAAATTTCTTGTCGATATATTTAAAAGAAATTTATTGTCCTTGATTTTATTAAATTTCTTGTCGATATATTTAAAAGCAATTTATTGTCCTTGATTTTATTAAATTTCTTGTCGATATATTTAAAAGCAATTTATTGTCCTTGATTTTATTAAATTTCTTGTCGATATATTTAAAAGCAATTTATGGTCCTTGATTCTAAGTAATGTGAAAGCTACAGTATATACATATTTTTAAGAGGATACAGCACAATACATATTTTTAAGAAGATACAGCACAATACATATTCTTAAGAAGATACAGCACAATACATATTTTTAAGAAGTTATTAAATTACTTTAAATTAATATACATGAAATGAAGATTGGTCTCTAATATTTAAGATATATACAGCACATAAAAGAGCTTTATATTATAAAGAAGCTGATGAAAGAAAAAAAATTAGTTTAGTTTTAATTGAATAGAAACAGACTACGCATTTTTTTCCCGAAAATAAAAATAATTTCTATATTTTTTTTAACTTATTAATGCTCCGTTCTCAGGCACTACACGGTAAGGAAGGGATGTCCCGAGGAGATTTGTTTTAAGGGAAACTGACTGGTATTCACGTTACATATGGAGAAAACCACGAAAACGCCTATGCAGCCAGCCCGTTTACCAGGGCTCGATCCCCGAACCGAATTACCAGTGTTCAGCGGCTGTTACCGCTCGGCCGCTGGATGGCTAACTTCTGTATTAAGCAATTTATTTTTACTCTATTAAAAGTTTAACTTCCCTCAGTTTAAATGTAAGCTATTTTAAAATTAAAACGATTACGTGTTAGCTTTAGAGCCCACGATAAATATCAGCTTTATTGTTTTATTTTAATTGAAGTAAGTTGTGCATTTAAGCAAATAAAAAATAACAGATTTGTTTTACTTCGTTAAGAAAAGTGTGTTTTGTAAACTTTTAGAGGTCCTTTTTTTTAGGTTCAAATAAAATATGATAAAAATAAAATTTCCTTACTCAAATTACACTAAATACTGCTACCAAACATAGCTACCCTATTTATATAATTTTTTTAATATCCCAAATTTGACCATTGAATGAATTAGCCGACTGCAATTCGTAGTTATTCCGGGTATTTAGAATTCTATCAAATTTATAATTTCATTAACTTTTTCTTTTATGAAAGAGTTTAACAGCAAAAGTCCAAGTGATATTTAGTCATAATTAATTGAACTCATTGACTCATGAATTACGTAAAAAGTGTAAAATGGACCTGAGAAGTAAACCCGAAGCCCGTAAAGTGCTATTGAAGTTTGCTGTAAAATGTGATTGAATTAAAAAGCCATATTTAACAAAACTTTTTAAGAAATGAAATTCTGTTGATAACACATTTTTACAACTATATGAACAGAGTTGAGGAATTTAAAATTTGCAAATATTTTTAAGAGGCATTCTTCAAGTTATAAAAGAATTAATATTTTAAAGAAACAAATCATATAGAATATTATGGAGTTTTGTTCCATTTAGTGCATACAGTTAAATAATTATAGAATCTCATCGAGTAGTGAAACACGAACATAAAGCTTGGAATTTAAACTTATTATGCGCAATGGAATGTCAATTATTCGAACTTCAAATACCTGGAACTCCAGCTATTTGAACCTCTTTCCTCCTTCGTTTATTAGGTTTGTCAATTTATCTACAAGTATTAGTTTTTTATTTGAACATTAGGACTTTTTGAAGCAGGAGATGTGAAAAATGAGCAATGCCCTCACCGGGACTCGAACCTGGACCTCTCGAATACGCGCCGAGTGAGCTACCGTTACACTACAAAGGCATGCCGAAAGGTGGAAGCTCCTGGTGAAGAATCATCATCCACCACCTTCTAGTTCGGGCGCCACTGTAGAGACATCAGGTTATTTTGAAGCAGAAGTACATGAAAAATGAACAATGCCCCTCGCCGGGACTCGAACCTGGACCTCTCGAATACGCGCCAAGTGTTTTAAGGTATACATAAACAAAAAACTATTCTTTTTTTTTCTCATAGGGTTTAAGTGTGTGTGTGTGTGATTATGGCAAAGCCTCGAGGGCTATCTGATTAAGAGGAGGGATGCCTTCGTGGAGGACTTTCTAAGGGAAACTGGCTCGTATACACGTTACACATGGGGAAAACTACGAAAACGCCCATGCAACCAGCCCGTTCGCGGGATTCGAACCTCGGACCGAATTCCCAGTGTTCAGCGACTTTACCGCTCGGCCGCTGGTGGGCCCTCATAGGGTTTAAGAGAAACGCTCAAGGGATTAGGTAAATAAAATTAATTCCAATGTCTAATTTTGTCGAAATAAGCATATTTTAGAATTATTTTATGTAAAAAATATTTCTCTTCAGATCTACACGACTTTTATTAAAACGAAACACGATAAACGCGAAGCAAACATGAAATTATCTCCCATTATGAGTGAATATCTACTTGGCTTACAGAAGAAAAGGAATATAATTATTCGGATATTCTAATAAGCTGGTTTTAAATACTTGAGATATTTGGAATTCTAATATATTTCTTTATTAATTTAAATAAGACGAATTTGGAACGTGTAGTGAGCATCATCTAATTTTAAAGTGTCTAATTACAGAAATATATAACTAACAGAAGAAATTACGCATTATTTTTAACCTATGCTTGATTTTCTACCAACTCCTCTAGAAAACGTTTCCAGTTTCTACGAAATGGTTTTCATAAAAAATACCAAACAGAGTACAGCCTTTTCATATTTGACTTATCTACTAGAAGCTAAAAATAATTGACATTAGAAAACTTCACGAATGATTCCTATTGGTTATTCTAATACTGGGTCAATAATGTAGTTGTGATAAGACCCCCCAAAAGCACTGTTTCTTCAGGCTCATATGGCTGCGTCCTGAGCGGCTGAGTTGTAAGCAATGTTCTTATTGGGTTACCCATCCAAGCCGTCTCCACTTTTTCGAACACATATGGCAGAGTCATGTGACATCCGCTTACTTACTCCCCAGCCGTAGCCATTGCATTTCCAGAAAAAACAATGAATAAACGAGAGAGAAGGGGGATGGAAAAAAAAAGTGGATTTTTACAAGCACATAACCCTTCTCCTGTTCGCAACCTGTGGCTTGCTGGAAATCACCAAACGACTGCCGACTCGTTGTTGCTTATTTTTTATGTGGATAAACTTGTCGACAAAGATGTCATTGTTGGTTTGCGATGCGTGATGTGAGGCGCGTTTCTAGTCGACAAAGATGTCGACTATAGAAGTCGGGCGGAGGTGACGAAAGCGGTGTAGTTTTGCAAAGTGTATCATTAATTGCGAAATGGAAGCGACAACAATTTGTCCTTTATGGCTTTCAGGATGGCTTTTACGCTCTGGATTTTCTCTGGTATGAGTTCTGTCAAGTGCATGCTAGTTGTCACGTGCTGGCTCGTAAACAGTTGTAGCTCGATTTGAAAATTATGTCAGGCGGAATTTTCAAAGCGTACGAATGCTTTTCTGCAATCGTATCTTTACGTTTTGGAACAAATATCAGTTCTAATGCTTTAATGCTGTATATTTTTTGACACATTGAAATAAATAGCAGCCAAGAAACTCTTGTTGTGATGGAAATATGTACCGGAAGTGATGTTATACAACAGTTCATGCTTTTGTCATATATGATGAACAATTTGATAGAGAAAGAAACACTATGCATCAACTTTACAGCCTCACTCAAATACTCGCGATTCAGAATTTCGACAACTTTAGCTTCGCTTGTAATTTTTTTATGGCGACGATTTGAAGAATGAATCAGATTTTAGATCACTGATACCACATTGAATGAGCTTTTATAATGAGATACTGATCCTATTTATTCCGCAAATTTTCATTACTTTTAACATATTTTAATACTAAAGAACGGTTTAGGTTCTTTGACCATAAATAAATAAGGTTCCTCTGTTCAACGTTTTTCGTTCTTTCACCGTGCTACTTCAATATTAAAAAAAAAGAACAAAATCTGAAAAATTTCAGATTTTAACCCTCTAAGCGGCAAGGCCGTACATATATGGC